GGGGCAGGGCGGGGGCGGGGGCAGGGCGGGGGCGGGGGCAGGGCGGGGGCAGGGACAGGGACAGGGGCAGGGGCGGGGACAAGGACAGGGGCGGGGACAGGGGCAGGGGCAGGGACAGGGACAGGGACAGGGATGGGGCAGGGACAAGGACAGGGGTGGGGGGCAGGGGCAGGGACAGGGGCTGGGGGCGGGGCAGGGCGGGGCAGGACCTTCTGCTGCTCATCGGCCTCCCGCTTCTGCTGCACGATGATGACCAGGTATTCCTCACACTGCTTCTGGAACTCTGCCACCTTCCTCTTGGCCTCCTCCAGCTCCAGCGACATCACTTCCACCTTTTCCCGGGTCTCATCGATTTTGAACAATCCCGTCCGCAGCTTGTTGGCCTGGTCCAGCAGCTCTTGCCGTTTCTCTCCCAGAAGCCTGTGGAGGAGTGAGCGGTGGGCAGCGGAGGCTCCAGGGAAGGAGGCCTCGGTCCTCCCCAGCCTTCCTTCCCCCAGGGTCTCCGGCACTCTCTGTGGAGACACTTCCAGCCCTCACAGACAGACACGCGGCCTGGTCAGACTCCTGTCTTCCTATCCCTTTGCTTCATTCTCTACACCATGACTGGAGTCGGCTTGTTAAATACCGTTCTGACACTGTCAAGCAGTGCCCGGCACATAGTAGGTGCTTAAAATACATGATAAATGGCTGAATCCTTGTTGACTATCATTCTTACAAATCGCTGTTCCCCCCCCCCCCCCCCGGCGGTTTCTCCGCTGTCTCGGAACTTGCTCTGTAGACCAGGCTGGCCTTGAACTCAGCTCTGCCTGCATGCGGGATTAAAGGCCTGTGGCACCACCAGCCAGCACAGATTGCTTTATCTTTCTCCAGCTTTGATTAACATGGGCAGGGTGGTAGGTGAGGTGTCCCATGCCTGTGTTCACAGCCCTGGGGACGCTGAAGCAGGAGGATGGCTATGAATCTGGGCTTAGCGTCAGCTACACAGTTAGTTCAAAGCCGGACTGGGCCACATGTGTAAGACTAGAAAAGTCAAATACGATAAAACATCTATAATAAGCCAGCAACAGTGTTCCCTGGCCTCAGCAAACAGGACAGACAGCTCAGACAGTCGACGCGCCCACAGGGGGCTCAGCCCCCCCCCCCCATCTACACTGGGACTGAGGCCTCAAGCTGCAGGATCCGACCCTAACTCCAAGTAGACCGCAAAGGGGTTAGCTAGGTTCGGGGCCACACAGTCGGGGTCGGGCTCTCTGGTGTGTGGGGAGGTCTGCCCACACAGCTAATGGGAGTAGAAAAAGCATGCCAATTTTTTTTTTTTTTTGTCTGCTTTGCTGGCTTTCGATTGTTCTCCTTTTGGTTGTATTTTGCTTGAGGTAAGGTCTCATGGGGTCCAGCCTCCCCATGCCCAGCTCTGAGACACCGCCATTCGCCACCCTTGTGGTAGGGGATCAAACCCAGCATTGTGTAGGCTAAGGCACACACACACAGATGTCTCTCTATCTCTGCCCCTGCTCACTTGTGTGCTTTTAATTGTTTTGTTGTTGTTGTTTGTTTTGTTTTGTTGACATGGGGTCTCACTATGCAGCCCTGGCTGTCCTGAACGTCCTGAAACTCACTCTGTAGACAGGCCTGGCCTTGAACTCACAGAGATCCACCTGCCTCTGCCTTCTGAGAGCTGGGATTACAGGTGTGTACCACCACTCCCAGCCACTGTGTGGGGACAGGGTCCTTGTCTGTGGCCAGGCTGCCTTGTATGTCCGCCATCCTAGCGAGGGGAGCTTAGAGAAATGTCACCATCCCCACCTATTTCAAAGGAATGGCCAGTGTAGGAGACGTTAAAGGGAGAGAGGGAAGGATTACAAGTTAGGATGGCCAGGGGTGAACTGTGATCTGAAAACCACAGCCAAAGTCATCCCAGGGCATAGGGGCCGACGGTGTATGAGAGGTGCCAGAGCCCAGGGGACAGGCCCAGAAACTCCAGGAAAGGTGTCCCAACAGGAGACACACCCCCACGAACCTCCAGGGATTAGCCAAGACCCTCTGCACACCTGCCGTCCCTCGTTAGGGCCCACATCTCCAGCCTATCCCCACGGCTAGACCCTGAGTGTTTTCCAGGGTAGCGTTTCATCAATCAGCACCTCAGAGGACTCCCTGGCCCTCCTGTCTGTCTCTTGGTCCTCATACTTTTTATATCCAGACACGAGCTCCAGGTAGTTTGTGGGTGTGACGTAGTTGTATCTCCGCAGCTCCAGCAGCATCTTCTGGGAGTACTGCGCCACGGACCAGTGCATGGTCACGAAGATCTGGGCCACTTTCCTGTGGATCTGAAGCCGGCAGAGCCGAGTGAGGGGCAGGCTGTGGGCGGGGGCGGCTGGGGAAGGCGGGGGCGGCAGG